CGCAGCATTTCAAACATTCGCCGGATGATTCGAATTGGAGCGTGGCATTTCGAGAATTTTGGGTTCGTGTTAATTTTACGCAGAAATCCCCGGCATGCTAATCGAATCTGTTCCACAATCGTTTGCCGTGGGCTTGGACTATTCTGTTTATTTCCGAAGCAAACCCGTTCATTTAATTCCCAATTGGTTGTGCGGTCAGATTCGTTAAACGAAATTTCAAACTAAAAATAACTTCACTAATAAATTACAAAATTGTAAGTTATAAGTTGTTATTATACTCATTACTCGTAGACTAAAAGGATAAACTTTATTTATTGGAAACCACCATCCACTTTTAATGTAGTTTGCTTTTGGGCGCGCATTTGAATAAATTAGTCAACACAGCAATAAAGACAAAAAAGGGCGAATTCTGATAACATCTTTCATAAGACTTCGTTTTAAAATGGAAACTTATAAGTTAAATAGTTGCTTTGACAGATAACAAATTTTACATTTAGAAATGAAGAATACTTTTTTTTAGGAGAACATTTGAGTATAAACATTATTTAAAGCACATAAATCAAAAACATTTCTTCTTGCAAGTTTAACTTCTCCCAACAAGGAAAAACAAATTTACTGCTCCATGTAAATGTGACCCACTTCAAGAACTTCCTCCTTTAGTTGTTCGTCGGTGAATCGAAGAACCCTACCCAGAATAGCCCAGAATAACCCGGAATAACCCAAATAACCCGGGCTGATCTGGATTGCGGAGCTTGTTGAGGCAATTAGCCGGCGACACGAGTGTCAACATGATTTGACCCCTTCGGTGCACATTTGTATGCAATCAGTTGGCAATCAGCGATGGCTTTCGAGAAGGCGATCCGTGAGATACAAGATACAAGCTACATGATACATGGGGTCAGTGTTTCCAGATCATCGATAGTGGGAGTAACACAAACACAAAACGAACTCAAGGTGGCAGGACTGGATATGAACTACAATTGCTATTGTATATTGATTTCCAATGAGAACCATACTTCTGAATTCTCCACTTCATAAACTCATAAATTCAATCAATTAGATACACCGATTATAATGGCGATCGGTTTGTTGCCATTTCCATTTCAGTTAATTCCGCTTTAATGATCTCTCGCATCGCCTGATATTATATATGGATCAGCTTGTGGAGCAATTGCAGTGCTGATAGATGAAGTCATCGCCTGTCTTGGAGGCGATTTCTCTAACGTTTCCTATATCTGAATCTGTTCGCTGAACAAAGTAAGTGCGGCTGTATCTGACAGATATGCGTTTTGGCCCAGGCTCGATTCAAACTTGGCTATCGGAAAAGACCTGCCAGCCTTGCGTGTTCTCGTGCTGTCCGAGACTCCAATCCGATAATGTGTTTCGTGGACATGGAAATCGGGTTGTAAATTCGACACTTAATGGCTAAATAGCAGTTCAAGAAAAATAGTAATAAAGATAACCAAGCCATGAAATGTAACAAAAAGAATATGGTTTACTTTTTGGAATTAATTATAAAATTACTTACAAACAAATTGGAAAGGAAATAGTATATTAACAGGTATACAGAAAATATGAGGGTAATATCAAATAAGAGGATTGCAAACTCTTTAAATATTCTTGAATTATTTGTAGGAAACAAATGAAAATATTTGTGGTAATTTAATTCTACCTGTGTATTAGTTTTATGATCTATTCAATCTATTTAAATGACATGACTGTAATAAAAGTGTATCGCAAAGTCGTGGCCGTTCTATTGGAAATGCGGATTGATTTCAGTGAGTGCGGTGCAGTGACAGCTGCAATCAAAACAAAGTTAGGCAAACGTTTATTCACATTGTATATCAATAAAGTTTTACACATGCTTTGCATATTTGCGGCAATTATCCGCTCGACTGCGAATGCGAATCAGACAGCTTCGGATAATTGATGATTATGAGTACGAATACGAGTATTACCAGAGTGAGTACGAGTACGAATGGAAGGCTGGTTGGGCGAATGGCTGGCTAAATGTCGTGAGCGTGTTTAGTGTGACACATAAATATATGCAGATATGTGCAGATATCATCTGCGTTCGATTTTTATGGTGTGACGGTGGGATATCTGCGATTCGAAGCGAAGGGCTTGGCCGGGCCAACTCAATTAACTGATAGCGCCGCAATGCAAATGGCAGCAGCTTCCAGATGGGAAGCCGATCGATATCCGATATCCCATATCCGAAAGATACTGTCAACACGAACCGATCGACGAACGACGAACGCCACATTGCCAACGCCAACGCCAACGCTCGACTTTCGCGCGTTTCGCGACGGATGCTGCAGATCCGAATCTCCGCCGGCTGCTTTCGGTAGCTGCCACACCCACAGTCGCCACCTATCACCTACCACCACCCACCCACACATGTACACTTAAAAAAAAAAAAAGAATGCCACCTGGATCGAATGAAAACTTTTAAATCTTTTTAGTTCCATGCAAATGTATTTTAAAATATTTTATTATATACTTTATTATATTCATTATTTTATTAAATAGAAAATTAAAAAATCTCTGCAATCTGCCAACTCTTTTCAAATGTTTAAATACGTTTAAATAAAAAATCTTATTAACAAAAGTATCAAATATAGTAATTTTCAAACTGCAATATCGTATAGCGAAAAACAATTTAAGTCCAAAAATATGATATCTTATCCTTTTTTTTCTAAATTGCCTAGAAAATAATTCAAAACATTTCTGAAACTACTACTACAGTAAAATTGTTTCTGTTATTTATATGATATATTTGCCAAAAAAATTATTTAATTTTGTATGATTAATTACCTTATTTAATAGATTTTGCTTTTATGCTGTTTCATTTGTAGATGGCTTTAATGGAAAGCAATTCCACCATTTTTTTCAGTGTATAGAAGCCAGAGTCACAGGGCCGATTGTCGTGCCACTGGGCCGCGCCCCTCGACAGCTCAAAAACGGCATTGGCTAAAGTATATTCATTTGTTTGCCAATCAGCCTGTCAATAATTGTCAACAAGGTGTGACTATGCCAATATTTAATTATTCGATTCCATTCAGCGGCAACCACATCAATTGCATTGCCAACGACTTGGTATTCCAAAAGGCTGCCAACCGATTTGGCTTTTCTAATCTCCACAAAATCTAAAGTGGATCAAGCTAAAAACAGAAAACAAAATTCCACCAGTCGCAGTGATTTAAGCTTTTTTTTATCAGCCAAAAACCTTAAAAAATTGTCAACTTTCCATTGTTAAATTCCGAAAGAAGAACACAATACAATGATTAATTTTATTGGAATCGTAACTGTAACCAAAAATACTTTTCGTGGCAATCTAATCAAGAGATTGGCCGGAAATGTGAAGAAGTCTCGAATGAAAAAACGCCCAAGATCGTAATTGGCCAGGCCAAAATATGGCATTTGACAATCATCATTCTGAGCCACTAAAGCCATTTGGATAATTTGATGTGCCGGTTATAAAAACCGAGATATAATTGGTCTATAATATAGTTTATAGGTTTAATTGTCTGAGTGTCTGCGGCAAATTGCTATTTCGAAAATTAAGTTGCCTAATAGGAAAAAGTCGCCGAAAAAAAATATCGCTTGCCCACAGATCAGTAAAACAAGCTGAATTTGATTGTTAATGTATATATATATTTATATATATATACATATAACATATATATAGACGAATGAATATATTTCGTCTATATTTTGATTCACTCTTTTGTATTTGCATTTCTTGTTATTTGTTCTTAGTTCGGATTTGTTTTGTTTAGTTGTTCTTGCTTTTGCGCATTTGACAAAAACCAAATAAATTCATCATCTCTTGATCGTCGTAAGTAATAAAAAACTAAAAGCTTTTCAATTTTGTAGTTTTTGTTTATTCTCAGTGTGTGCGTTTTGTTGTTGTTTTTGATTTAAAATTTTTGTTTAATTCATAAACACTAAATTTAAGTTATTAGTACAAGTTTGTTTAGCTCATCGTCGTTTTAAATATTTTTGCTTGCAATTAATCAATTATTTAAAATTAATCAATCAATTATTAATAAAATAGAGTATATCATATATGTTTATACAAGCTACAAAAAAAATCATTATATCAATAATAAAAATAAAATAATAATAATAATAATAAGAATAATTTAATAGAATAAAAAATTAATACAATTTCTGTCTGTGTATGCAGTAAATTTCATTTCTTTTTCTTTATTTTTTTCGTTTTGTTCTTTTTATGTGTGTATGCGTGTGCTTGTGTATAAATATGTGTACATGGCATTTTTGAAATAGTTTTCTTTTTTTTAACAAATTTTGTACATATTTATTGAAAGTTTATTCAAAAAATGTATTTTAGTTTTTTAAAAGTATACTCCTAAAAAGAAACACAAACATTTCAATGTGTGTATGTATGTGTGTGTTTGTGTGCATGTCGATTTCTAAATGTATGTGTGCGTGTGTGTGTATGTATTTGTTGTGGCGTTGGTGTGAGTAACAATTAGTACAAAATAATTTCACATTGAAAAGCTGCGTTTTCAACTTCCTTCATTTGCTTGCTTGCGAAAAAACATATTTAAAGCTAATTTTATTTTTGCCATTCAGTCAATCAGTTGAAACTTTTGGGTTGCTAAAATATATCTATCGATACAAATGTCGATAACCACATAATGCGCCAAATGCGTTTCCCACTGTGTTTTGTTTCTCATAAATTATATAGATATATATGTATATATATATATAAATATATATGTATATATAAAAAATATTGTATATATGTATAATCAGAATAATTAGAGTTAAGTTAATATTCCCACGATAGCTGCTGCGTTATCGGCTCGCTTTCAAGTTTCAATTTAAATTTGAATTTAAATGAATTGAAAAGGTTTAAGTATTTCAATAAGTCAAATGTGTGTGTGCGTGTGTGTGTTTTCTAAACTCAGTACAGTTTCAATTTCGAATTCTTTTTGTTTTTGGTTGTGTGTGTTTGTTTTTTTTTTTTTTGTGCTTTTTATGGTTGTTTTTTTCTTGTTTAATAAATTAAAATTTAATTTTAATGTTTTTTTTTTTTTTGTTTTTGGTGGTATTAATGGGGATGCGGGGTGGGGAAAAGAAATTCAGAAAATGCTTTCTATAGAAAATTCTGCGCTGGAGAATTTAAAGCAAACTGCACTGGTTTTAAAGTCCTTTTCCAAGGATCTCACTAACTCTCTATCTCACTATCCCTCTCTACTCTCTCTACTTTCTCCATCTACTTTTCGATTCTCCTCTTTCTCTTGAGAGAATTCTCCTTTCTCCTCGTCGTGTTCTCAAATATATAATACAAGTTTTCATTGCTGCCACATAACAACAACGATCTGTGCAACCGCTTGCACAAGTGTGTGTGTGTGTGTGTGTGTATGTTCGTTTGTGTGGGTGATGTGGGTGGTGGTGGTGCTGGTGTCGCTGTGAGTGTGTCGCTCTGGTTGTGAGTGGGTGGTGGGCGGTGGTGCACTTCGCACTGAGTGATTGAGTGGTGTTCCCCATGTGGATCGTGGATCGTGGATCGTGGATCGTGGATCTCAGTGGATCCTGCTTATCAATCCTCTTCATTCGGTAACCGCTCAGCTGGTGGATCGCTGCTGGTGGTGCGGCTGCCTCTTGTGGTGGCGCCTCGACCGGCGGCACTGGGTGGAGCAGCACTCGTCGATGGCCGGAGCCGCTGCGTCCGGCTTCTCGAACAGCCGCCGCTTGCTGGTCACCCGCGTCTGCTGCTGGCACGTCGAGCGGGAGCAGCGCTTGCGGTCGCAGTTCACCTTGGAGTCCTTGAAGAAATAAATAAAAATAATATTTAATTAGTTTATAGTTCAGAAAAAAATATATGAAAAAAATCTTGATTCAGCAGCAAATCAATTAAATCATAATAAAAAATTCAAATAAAATTGTAAGCAATAAAAGCAAACATATATAAACTTGAACTTGATAATTCCTGCTTTACTTTTCCAAGTGTTTTTCCTATATTGTGTATTGTATCTTTCCCCATTAAAACTTAAGCTAGAAGATAAATTCAAAAGATATCTCACCTTGCAGCGGCACTTGATGCACTTCTGCTCGCCGTGGGACATGAGGATGGGGTGCCACTCCTGCCCGTTCTCGTACACCTTGTTGACCACCTTGCAGCCGCCGCTGGCCAGGACCTCCTCGGCCGTGTGGCTGGGCGATCGCTGCATGGCCTGATCCTGCAGCACGTTCGGGTTGTTCGGCGTCTGCTTGCCGCTCGCCGTGGAGCTCTGTTTGCCCTCCGGACACACCTTGCAGCAGGCCTTCTTGTCGGGTCGGTAGGCCAGCTTCTCGCTGCACTGCAGCGGCGGGCAGACCAGGCGGGGGCACCGGATCTCCAGGGTGAGCGGATCGCAGCTGCAGGTGGTGCAGGTGTCGAAGCCGTTCGGCGGCAGGAAGGGATGCCAGCTGGCGCCGGCGGCATGGAACTGCTCGCCCAGGCGGCAGCCACGTCGCTGCTGCAACAAATCCGTGGCATTGACGGCCGGCGAGGACTGCGGCTGCCAGTCGGCGGGGTCCTTGGAGCCCTTGGCCACGCAACTCGGACAGCACTCGCCCTCCCGCTGGAGCAGCTGCTCCGTTCCCGGCTTGCACTTGAGGGCGGGACACTTGATCACCTCGCAGCTGGACTGGCCGCGGAGACAGGCGCACATCTGGCAGGCATCCTGGGCACTCCGCCACTGCTCCGACTCGTTGTAGAAGCGGCCCGAGTGGAAGCACTTCGTCTCGCCGGTGACCAAGTGGTTGTCGTTGTGATCCCCCGGCACCGGGACATTGTTGTCCGTGTAAACGGGGAAGCAGTGACCCGGCACCTTGGTGCTCTTCAGCTTGCCGCGCAGCAGGAGCTGCTTGGAGTGCTTGGAGTGCACCTCCAGGTAGCAGACACTCATCTCCAGCTTGATCAGCTCGGCGGAGGGCATGCTCAGGAAGAAGCCCTCCAGGTAGGAGCCATTGAATTCCTCGAGCAGTTTCCTGGTCACCGGTGCTCCGATCGCCTCGATGGGCTTCTCCTCCAAATAGAGCTGCAGGTCCTGGGCGGGCACTCCGTTGAGGGTCACCTCGTAGTGCAGATTGCACTCGTTGTCGATGGACATCCAGGCCATGCCCACGGCATGCGGATTCTGTGCCTCCGACTGCTCCTGTCGCTTCAGCAGAATGGGCTCCGCCGAGTCCCTGGCATCCGCCACTGGACGGGGCACCAGTCTGCCGCGGATCAGGCTGCTCTCGTGCTCGGTGGCCACGTTCACGCCCAGCTCACCGGCGTACAGCGACTCCAGTACCTTGGGTCCCAGCTTCTCCACATTGCCGATGGCCTGATTGAAGTTGAAACTGGGCGTGAGATCCTCCAGCTTGGCCTTCCTCTTGCCCTGCTCCTCGATCAGACTGATGTTCGGTCTGTCCCGGGTGTTCACATGCTCCGTTTCGATATTGTAAGCCAAAGAACCATCGGTGTTCAGGTAGACCCAGGCCAGGCCACTGCTCTTGGTGGCGGACTCGGCGCTGTGGGGAGCGAGGAGCGTCTGGAAGATCTCGCAACTGGCGCGGGTGACAATGTGTCCCTGGATGCGGAGATTCGGGTACTTCTTGGACTCCACGATCAGCAGGAGTTTGCCGCGCGACATCAACCGGAGATTCTGAATGGAAATGGGTGAGGAGAGCTCCAGGACGTTGATCTCCGCCGAGGGTTTTCGCACCCGCGGAATCTCATCGAAGATCACCTCCTTCCGCTCCGGCAACTCGATCCTCACACTCAGAGCGGCATCTGCGAACTCCTCTGCTCCGAAGACTCCGTTGAACACCAGGGTGAGATGCATCGAGGAGGCTGCTCCACTGCTGGTGGAAACAATGGCTGTGCCACCAGCTCCGGCCAACTGGGAATCCATCGGTTTGCCATCGGTTTGTGGTGCCTCCAGCAGGGAACTGAACAGCTCCGTCTGGAGAGCCGTGTACTTGGCCACCTTTCCGGCGAGAGCGAGCTCCGACTGCTGTTTGTTGCCCCAGAGGAGCACCACATGGAGGCGATCGTCCCGGAGGATTCGCTTGTAGTCCCGGGGAACCCGTCGCCACACTCCGCAGATCTTGCCCGTGGCATTCTGATAGACACTGAGGGTGCCGGCCAGTGTGGTCTCCAGTTGGTGCTCCTCCAGGATAACGCCGGCATCGTCCACGAACTGAATGGCCCGAGGACGACCGATGCGCGAGGAGGTGTAGAAGGAGTAGTAGAGGTTCTTCTTGTGGAACAGAAAGCGGGCGGTGGCCACCACGTTGTGCGGATTGTAGGTGGTGTACATGGACTTCATCTCCTCGCCCTTCAGGAAGTAGGAAGTGCGGCCCGTCAGCAGCGCAGCGTAATCTGGAAAGGGATTCAAGGGGGTTTCAAATGAGATATTTGGTGGAAAAAGTGCTGAAAATCCTAAACAATATACTTGAAATGCTTTGGTAAAAAAGGTAAATGTAGAAAACAGTCTAACCAAATAATAAGACGTTAGGAAATTTAAGTTCTTTAAGGAATAGTTAAGTTAAATAGTGATTAAATCTTGTGAAAATAAAGGATTTATTATCACACAAATTGTAAGCAATTAAATTCCATTAAAGAATGGCATCAAATAAGAAATATTATCGAAGGGAATCTTGCAATTGTCTCTTAGTTTTCAAACAAATGAAATTATAACCAAATGAGTGCTGTTTCTATATAGAGTATAGTAGTTTCGATCTGGGTGTTCCAGGCTTTTGTACTTACGTTTCATGTTGCGCTCCTCCTCTTCATTGGGCACTGGCACATCCAAGGCCACATCCGTATCTGCAAGATACAATAAAAGTGAAACAGAGCATGAGAATGGGAACAGGACAAATAGTACAAATAGGAATATAAATGAGGATGAGGATAGGAGATGCTGGGCGATAGGAAGCGACCTTAAATGGAATTTAGATAGCAACAAATGCTTCAAAGCAGCCGAACCGCCCGTATTGAGATCAATATTCGTATGTCCATTCACCATCCAAAACTCCCGACATCCAGTGAGCCATGCCATTTGAATGGGCGAGGAACCACCGAGTGTGAATGCTGGATGTGAATGAAAGGCGATGCGGATGCCAGGGGACCGGATCATCGCCATGAATGGCAGAGATCAGGTAGAGCTAAGACCCACTAAGACCCTCTCCCTTAACTTCCACTGCTGTTTCTCCCAGGTGGCATTCATTAATCGTGCATAAATTGAGGAGGGCAGGTAGAACTCAGAACTCAGAACTCAGAGCTCAGAACTCGGATCGTAGAGCCGGCAAGTCTAACCTACATCTAACTAGGGAAGTGCTTTGTGTGTGCGGGTTTACACACACTTCCCGGAATCCACATGACACGCTCATTTACTCCCTTTTATTTTCAGCTAGTTTCCCTTCTTTTTTCTTTTTCTTTTCCTATTTTTTTTTTTTTTTTTTTTGGTGTGAAAGTGGGTGGACACATTTCCGCTGTCCCGCTGATTGACACACCGAGAGGCCAGGCGCATAAATCACCATCAGCGAATCAGGGAGCAAGTCCAAGTCCAAGTCGAAGTCGAAGTGGAAGTCGGAGATCTGAAAACAGAATCCCCCAGCTCTCAGTTCGTTAGAACTGGCAGCCCGACAAAAGCTGATTAAAGTCTCGAAAAAAAAAAAAGAAAATGAAGGAAGAAGTCGGGATTTCTGGACCTCTGTCGATGATGCCGCATTGGCATTTCGATTATTTTATGCTGCTCCTTCGCTCTTCCCAATGCCCAGCCTTTAAGCCGCAAAAAGTACAAAAAATACAACAAAAGTATATGGGGGAAAAAAGGGAAGAATGAAGGAGAAGTTGGGGCCGGCATCGCATAATGAAGGGCGACAAATCTGACACCTTGTATAGCATTTTATTGAGAGGCCCGCAACAGGGTCTCTGCGGCTTCTGCCGTCCGATCTTATCGCCTGATCTTAATACGAGCCACTTCGCCAGCCGGAAAGCCAGAAAGCCATCCACTCATCCAACCATCCACTCATCCAACCATCCACTCATCCAACCATCCAGCTATCCAACCATCCAGCCAGCCAGTTTTGGCCTTAACTTCAACTCGGTTTCCAACTCGAACTCACTTCGCTGTTTTTTTTTTTTTCGCTTTTCATACTCTTTTCAATTTGTGGCTCTACATTCTTGGGGCTTATTGGTGTCTTCGCAGGCATCGCTGCCCTTGAATCGCGCTTGCAGATGAATGAAATTTTCGTTCTTTTTTTCGGTTTTTCGTTGTTTTTTTTCAACTCCTTCTGCCGCTCTGTGTAAGCCAAGATAAATGAGTTTTGGTGTGCACAAAGACGACGACACGAGAGGGGGAGGGGGAGGGGAAGGGGGTTAACCCTTCAGCGGACTGGCGGACAAGCGGACAAACGGACAAGCGGACAAACGGACAGCGGGGGGAGAAGTGAAGTGAAGCCGACAAAGCCGCGACCAAAAGACAAACGACACCTCGGCATTGAGTCAACGCTTTGGTATGTGGGGTCGGCCCCAAAAGAATCTCGGCGGCAGCTCATTAACAAAACTGAAGAATTGAGAATTGAGAAGGGGAAAGGGGAGGGGAAAGAAGAAGGGGAAAAGCAAAGTAACCCATAGAAATAGAATCGTTTGAAAGTGTTCCACTCAAATGTGCGGCAATCGAAGCTACACAGTTTTTCCCAAGAAATCCCGAGCACGTGAGAATGATTTGATAAATCTGTCTCGGATTTCATGTCACATTTACCAGGTGGTGGGATCAACACCATGGATGATCATTTTTATTGATAGAAAGGAGTGGGAAGAAGTTATAACGATTAAATATATAACAAGATCAAATTTAAAGACCTGATAAAAAGAAGACTTTTGATCTCGAGTAATTATTGAAAATTCATGGTGGCATCCACAAAATGTATATGCACTCCACATTCCCCGCTCTAAACGATCCTCAACTCTTTCGTTTCTCCCCCTCCAAACCAAAGAAAAAAAAAAAAAGAGAACCCATTATAATCTCCGGTTTAGATCATTCGATTCAGATAGTTTTCGAACCCGACCCGACGCCTTGTTAGCTCTATTTCTCAGCCTTATCGCGATCCACAATCTCCACTTAGGAAAAAATAAAATAAAATGGGGGGAGAAAAAACAACTGAAGAACTGATGAAAAAAAAATAAAGTAAAGGCTGGAGAGTGGGAATATAATAGACAGTTCCGTTCGCCGCTGCCGCCGATCGAGAACCGATAAAGATAAAGATACAGATAAAGATAAAGTTGAGGATTTTATTGTTCGATGGCGCACCTCACGCCCAACCATAAAAATGAATTTGGACCGGCGATCCTTTTGTGGCACAACAAAGTTGCTGCTGCTGCTGCTGCTGCTGCTGGCAGCTAAAAAACTGAAAGAAAGATCTCTTCGATCTGGATTCCGATCGAAGATCTTAAGATCTTTCGAATAACGAAAATAAAAAGGGATGGACCACAACCACAAAAGATGTCATCAAGTTGAATTGTCAACTCGGGCGACTTCGCCTAATGGGATCGCATCGCATCGAATGGAATCGAAGGCATTAACTTTTATTCTCTACCTGGGGATGTACATATATATATATGCATATATATGCCCCCCTCCCCTCCATTTCCCCTCGCTCTTCTTTACCTTTCTCTCAATTGAGGACCGCCCGCCGTTTGTGGCGGCAAATGAGATAATTTAATAAGCGTTAAAATGCCCGAGTTATGTCATTATAAAAATGAACGAACAAAAAAATACCAGGCATAAATTAATGCCGTTCGGTCTTCTGGTGGTTCAGTTCGAATCGATTCGGATGGTGGTGCTGTTGTTGGTGGTGCTGTTGGTGGTGGTGGTGGAAGAAAGACTGGCAGGCGGAGAGGAGCCAAAAGATTCGATCCCAAAATGGACATTTAACGAAGGTAGGCAATTGTTGATGTTGATTATATGGCCATGTCATGAGCTTCAAGCTCCAGGCATCGACTCTTCGGGCCTGACAACTTGCCCAGGACGAGCTTGAAAGTACAGTGCGGCCAGGCTAAGGGAAACCGCTCAGCTCTCTCCTCAGGATATTCATCAAGCGGTCTCACTGTGTTGGCCAAACAGCAAAGAAATAAGGAAACTAAATTAACTCTTAAATCCTTATTAAATTTAGGTTCACATTTACGCCAGATTTTCTTAGATAATCAGCAGTTTGATTTGCAATTTAAATAAATTTATTTTAATGAAATTGCATCTCAAGTTAATTGATTTATTCAAGTAGAACTCATTCAAGTAGAAAATATCAAACGAAAATATGTAGTAAATTTGAGCTGTGCACTTCCTTTCTAACATTTTCCCTGAATATTTTTCTCAGTGCAGGCATAATATGCGGAGTATGGGGCAAAAAACCAAGTTAGGCAAAAAATAACTTTGGAAACGATCGTTGCGAGCCTGACTGCTGTAGATGAAACTGCTGCCGTTGTGCTTTGTTGCTTTTGTTGCTGCGAAATATTTGTACAATAGCCTGGGCTAGATGGCTATATGGCTAGCTAGATGGCTAGATGGCTAGCTAGTGGCTAGATGGCTAGATGGCTAGATGGCTGACTAGTCAGCCGGTGACTGCGTGAGAGCCAAAGAGTCTCGCTGGAAAAGCCGCGCCCGTGCCTTCTAACTATTTATGGCAAACGAGTTGCGTTGGGAGTTTTCTTTTACCAACAAACCAAACAAAACCAAAAAGCAAAATAATAAAAACCTTAAAAACGGAGGTAAGTAAATAGAAAAAGAAAAGCAGAAGGGAAGGAGGGGAAAAAGTGAAATTGTTTTTGTTTTTTTTTTCGGGTGGAAGGTCCGCGGGTCAACGGCATTTTGCATAAGCAAAAATGAAAAATTGCCACAAAACGGAAACTAATGATGTGATGCAGCGACCGATCGTCTTAACCCCTTTGCAACCGCAGTTGCAGTTGCAGCAGCAGTTGCAGCAGCAGTGGCAGCCCCCTTAACCCCATTCCCGTTTCGGTGGCAACCAGTTTGCCCCATGCCACACAGCAACTGGCAACCAGCAACCAGCAACATGCAACTTGGCAACTGGAATTCAGCCAGCACTCGCCTGATTATGTGAAAAATGTCACAGAGAAAGAGCAACATTTTCTTTCCACACAAAAAATCAAGCAAAAAATAAATAAAAAAAAAAAAAGAAAGAAAAAAATTCACAGTCAATTGTGAATTTAATTCAGGCGGAAAATTAGGCAGCAGCCGAAAACGGTGATTCAGTCTAATCATAAATTATGCACACCACACACACACACACACACTTATAGATTTCTTGGCCAACAGCAAGAGCAGCTGGCAATAAAAGCCGGGTAAAAAAGTGAAAGAAAGCGATTGTTGTATTCAAAATCAAAGCCTAACTCCCCGTCTTGGCAATTGGTAATTCGTAATTGGTAATTCGTAATTGGTAATTGGTCTATTAGGGCGTTTCGAATGCGTTTCGAATGCGGCACGTGCGCCCCCAAATGGGACCCCTTTAAAGTGCTCGAATAAATACTTGAAATACTCTTGTTGTTCCGATAATATAACCCCGCCAAAAATAACAACAACTTCAGGCGCCGTTCGGGCGATATAAAATAGATTGAAAATAAAACAAAAGCGCCGAACAGGCACACAAAAAAAAATAAAAAAGAAAAAACACGAATGGCGAGCGCACAAAATAAATAAAAATGCAAAAGTCACCAACAAAAAATCGAAAGAAAATACAACAAAAAATACGAAAAAAAGAAGAAGAAAATTGGTATAAAATAAATACAAAAAAAAGAGATCGGCACCACATGCTCTATGGCCATTATCCGAAGTAGTGGACCAAGGAATATCGGAATATAGGAATCATCGTCTGACTGAGACATAAAAACGAAATATAAATTGCGTAGCGCTGACCTTCATTTCGGGCCAAGTAATTTTTCATAAACAATTTACGCGTTTCGGCCACGTACATATATACACATTTTATACATATATATAAAATATATATATATATATATTGGTTTGGGGGGACATTATAGCATCTTGTTTGTGTGGCAGCTGCCTCAGATGCTACGCTTAATTATTCACGAGTGTGTGGTGGATAAACCAAAAGATATAGCCAATCTAATCCCGATTTATGCCCTCAAACAATCCATTGTAGTTGTCAAAATATTTAAACATTTTAGGGAAATTATTAATGTACAAAAAAACAGGGGAAATTCTTAGCTAGTTTTGAATGGCAAAATAAATTAAGAGAGAGTTCTTTCTTTTTTGGTTGCTAACTTTAGGCCAACTTGAGCTACTGCCTGAAGCATTTGTGTTGTTGGTTTTGTAATCGATATGGTATCGGGATATAGTATGTGTGGACTTACCGTTCCGATCGCCGGGACAAGTTTTGCAGCATTTTCCGGGCAGCGAGATGGGATCATCGCATTTGGCCGGCGGACACTCGTTCTTAATATTGCGACACTGGACGCGTGCAACGATGCGGCGCTTCTTGGGTATCTAAAAAAAAAAAAAACAAATCAAATTAAAAAAAAAACGAAATAGAATAAAAAAAAAAACAAATGGGAAAAAAGCTGAAGCGAAAACACTCGGAATTAAGTTGCGAGCGAGTGGAGCGGCGAAATAAGAAATTAATTGGAATTAGTAATGCAGATTCCCAGGCCTGTCACCTGTCTTTTGGCCGCCTTGATTTATGCCTTGTTAGCAACCGAATCTGGTCTAAATCAAGCTGCGATCTCCGCCCGATATCGGCTGCTATATAAATATAGCGCACCGCCTGTCCGCCGTTTGTATTTTTTTTTTATTTTTTTTGTTCTTCCTCCTCATAATTATATTTTTATGAATTCGCCAGCAGTTCTTTTTTGGCTGCTGTTTGTCTTTTTGATGTTCGTCGGGTTTTTTATTATTAATTTTTATTGGTCGCCAGCGTCGCTGAACGATGATGATGTTGCCTTGCCGCTGTGCTTAAAGTTCAACAGCAGCAACATGTTTTAAATAAGTTTATGATGTGCTCATTTGCGACGCTTGCAGCCAACATAAATTATAATTAATTAATTTCAAAGCTGACTTTTATGCAATGCACATTAAAAATTAACGAAGAAGAATCTCAGCGCGAATATAGGTAAATGCGCACTGGAGAAAATCGCCGACCACATACTATATAATATAATATATTGCTGAATAAATATCGGTGTGTGTATATGCATAGGATATATCTGCGTATATCTGGCCCGTCTGGTCCATCGCAGACTAGCAACAACAATTCACAACCGATGGCGTCAATTAATTTTTGTCTCCCGACCACCAGAATACGCATCTATATCTACAATATATGAGTACGGTGTCTATATCTATATGGGACCTGCTGTTTTTTACTTCGACGAGGACACGAGTGTGACATTTTTATGTGTCGCTTGGGAAAATTGCTCAGCATTGCCCCCTCGCTTTTCCCCTCCCCACTTTTCCCCCATTTTTTTCTTCAGCTTTTTTGCTTTGCAGTGCAACAAATTGTTTCGTTGTTGTTTCTTTTTTTTTCTCGGTATTTTTGCGTAATTCGATCGAGCATCCACGAAAATGCTGAATGCTGAATGTTGAATGCTGAATGGTGAATGCTGAATTTGTTTTTCAATTTGGCAAGGCTGAAATGCCGGCTGTCTATAGGAATATTTGGCTCTGATTCGTAAGATATCGCATAAAGAGCTCTAAAATCGATATTAATCATGCGTGGAAATGCCATAAATTAGGCGCGTCCAAACTGAAAACTGAAAACACAATTATTTTCATTCGGCTCTCACTCGGTGGCAGCATTTTCCCTGCGATTTTCTTTGGCTTGTTGCGAATGTCGACGGTCATTAGTCAATTTGCTCGCCCATCAGGCGGAATTTCTTAGCTATTTGCATCTGAGGTGAATATTTCAACTATTTTTTTCATGGCCTTTAACAGTGGGTAAATTGGCTAAGGAGTTCTGCATGTTAATGGGACTTTCTACGGATTTTAATTGCTGATTTTTCAGCTACTTTTGAGGAGAAATATTAAATATTTTTCTAGTTTCCTTTGCAAATAAATCTCTTTAATTACCCATATTTAATCCTATATTTTACTAGCTTAATAGTAATTAATTGGTTGACTTACCGCCACGCATTCACATTTGATGCAGTACATAACGCCGAAGGGTGGACCCAAGTCCGCATACCAGGTCGAACCCAACTCTCGAAGAACTTTGCCAAACTGACATTCGGTGACTGAAAGTAAAGGAAATCAAAATGCTAAATTAAATCTCTGAATCTATTTTGTTCTGTTTTTGTTTTATTCTGTTGTGTTTCCTCAATTGCCATTTAAGATCTATGGGTTTGTGTGTATGTTTACTTTATTTTTGCAGGTTGTTGGCGCCAGTCGCCAGTGCAATTGCCTATCTATCTTTATATACATACTCGTCCATATAATATATATATTTATATAAGGCAAACAAACGATGCCCGTATATCAGCGGCACATGATGATGATGATGATGCAAAGCGAGGTTAATAACAATAATGGAAATTCATAAAATTCAAATGACAGACGCCCACAGCTGCACAAAAAAAAAAAATAAAAAAAAGATGGAATCTGGAAAAGGGGATTGCCAATCGATCAGCAGCTAATTAACTTCAATCGAAGGAGCTACCCAGTTGGAAGTCCCACTTTTTGGCTTCGATTTGGGTTGGGGTTTCTCTTTGCTTTTCGTTTTGGGTTTGGGCTTGGGTTTGGGTTCAGGTTTTCCACTCCGATTCGGGTGGGCAGAGCGATGCAATCAGAATTGCAGAACGTTTTCAGCCAAAACCGGCGAAACGAACAACAACAAAAAAAAAAAAAGACAAACTGGCGCCACATTCGCTGAGAGGCGTTGAGTCGCTTCCGGCAGCGTTTTCAATTACAAATGCAAGCCATTGCACAGCGAGAAAGTTTGCCATACTTTACAGAGTGAAAAAATGTATGTTCAACATTTTTAAGATTTTTTAAAAATGAAGGTTACCAACAAATAATTAATTCCCTATTTTAGATAGTAAGAAAATGAAATGTACATTTTGTTTGCCTAAAAAGTAAACATATTTTTTCCCTCTGTAGGTAAATGGAATGAAGAAGAAGCGGCGTCTCTCTGGGGCGCCAACAAGTGTCAAATTGTGGGATTGAATCGAAGAAAAGAAAAATACGAGGAGGGGGCAGCATCCACTTTGATAGTCTCAATTTCATTAGCCACATTTTTTGGGATTACGTTTTCGATTTCGGAGCTTCTCGTTAATTGGAAGCGCGCGAGCGGCCAAACTTTTGCACAAAAATGCCACAAACCGTATGCAAATCGAAAACGCGACGCGTTATATTATTAATATATTTGAAATAAACCAACACAGCACACAATCGCCGGTGTCTCGGCAAAATTATGCTAAAACTTTTGGCGCCACTCATAAAAAATGTAAACGAAACAAAAAGACAAAACGCCGCAGCAAAGTAAAGAGAAAACGATAAAAAAAAAAAAACCAAAACAAAATTTATATACATATATAGAGGCAAAGGCCCAAAATCGGAAACTTTCATGGCAATGAGTTTTTGGGGGCGGGACGGCGGTGGGGAAAATAAATTAAATTTAATCAAAAGGCGGCGGCCGAAAACGCGACAAAAACGCGCTGGAAACGCATGAAAATGCTGATGAGTACAAAATCTTTTCAGGGAACATCGAATTTCAACTAGGTAATGAAAATTGCAACTAAACAAACATGTAAAATATAAATATTAATGAAAAAGTATTTTTATAACTGCCTGAAGTAAATAAACATTGAAATGGACTCAATCTACTGATATTTTTCTGTGTGTATCAAATCGCCGGCAGTTGACACCTGTTGTCGGTGTTTGAGAACTGTTGTTGTTTTCTTATTTCTTCTACTATTTTTTGTTGTTTTCATTTGTGTGGCTCCCCCACGGTTATCGCACACATCATTCACGATTCCATATCTCTGGCCATGCTGCCCTGATAATCGCTCCTCCGACGCTTTCGCATTTGCTCGCCAAATGCCACAATAGCAAGTAGTAAAGGTAATAAAAAAAAAAAAAAAAAAAAAAATAGGAACAATAAACCAATTAGGAGAATACACGTGATAGTGGTTGATAGTTGGTGGGTTGGTGGGAAGCCTTTGGGGGCAATCGCACCACCACTGAGCCACTGAACCACTGAGATTCTCAGCTGCCAAGGGAACCAAAAAACCGGCAGGTTAGCAAACCATCTCCGCCGAATAACCAAATAACCAAATCACCAAATCTGCCGACGGACGATCCGAGGCGCCATGGCGTATACGTGATAAGTGGCGCTAACGACGCGCGACGTTTATCAATTTTGTTGCTGTGTTTATTGTTGTTGTTATTGTTGCCGTTGCTGATTTTTGCTGCTGCTGCTGGTGCTGCTGCTTCTGCCGCTTGTCATTGGCGCCAGTTTTATTTGCGTGCGAAACAATTTAAATACAACAACAGCGGCGAAACAATGAAAATAAGCCCCGCGCAATAGATTTATTTGTATGTATGCTATACTATGCTATAGAGGAATAAACCAGATCAGGGGAATCGGTCGGGATCGGGATACTTTTTGCGGGGATATAGCGATAATCCCCAGGCATCAGTTCATTAATCATCTCGCGAATCTTGACACTTTTCACCGAATTAATTAGATAGAAATTTCATTTAATTTCACAAATTAGTTGGCGAATTAGGAGGGATTTATTTTTAATCAGCCAAAAGCATTGCAATTTAAATACAAATATAAAGCTGATATGAAAATAGATGTTTTCGTAGTTAATAAAAACCCAATTAAGGAGTGATTGATGGCAAAAGAAATATTTGTTGAGTGTGTGGAAAAAACCAAGTTTGTTCAAACAAAAGCGATACCGAAATTGGGGAAATTATAGAGCCATAATAATAATAATAATAATAATATGGCACTGGTTTCATTTCTTTTTTTTTTTTTTGCGGGCCATCTTTGGCGCTATCTCACTCTCCTGACACTCCACTTCCTGTTTTCAACATCAGCTGTTGTTTTTGCCATTATTATTATGTTGCCACAATTTGTCTAGACACTTTTTGATGTATGACCGCGAACAAAAAACGCGGCCAATTTCGGTTTTTCGGCTTTTCACTGATTTGTGCGCGATTTCTGTGTGCAAAAATCGCAATTTGTTTGTTTTGTTTGTTCGGCTGTTTGCCTATGCACTTAAGTAGAACCGAATTTGTTTTCGCTTTGCGCTCGAATTCAATTCTGATCATTTCCAAATTGATTGACAAGCCAAATGGGAATAACAGCGAAATTCGAACAATATCCATGTAAATATTTTGTGCAAAAATCTAAGAAATTGCAGCGTGGGTGCAACAACAACAACAAAAGCAACAAAAACAATACAAGAGCATTCCACACGCTTTATTTTTAAGTTTAATTTAAGACGAAATGTCTAGAAATAAATTGTTCTTGTTCGCTCATCTTCGTCTTTTGCCGCCGCTGTTTTCCCCTTCTCTCTTTTCTTATTTTTTCCCAGTGCATTGACTCACACATATTTGTGCAGAAAAAAAAAAAAATGAAGGGGAGAGTGCGGGGGTAAATGTGCAACAAATTATGGTGCATCAGCGGAAAAAAAGAACGTTCAAAAACTCGAAAGTGTCTGGCCAAACATTTGCAGCACACGAATCATTAGCAAACAAATGTTAAAAATACTAAAGACATCCTCTCATTTCAGCATTTTCCGTTGCCAGGCGACAAAATGTGGCAAGTCACTTTTGAAAACAGGTGTTAAACGGTTGCGAAGTAATTAATTTGTAAGCTAAATCTTTGCTACATGTAATAATTTATGAACTGATCACACGAATTAAATTTAGTGACAGAAAATGGTTTATAGATGCAGAAAATATTTTAAAATATTTATAAATTCTAAGAACATGTTTAAATATTTTTTGGAATTCAGAACTCTAGTTTTTGACCATTTTGCGGGGTGTGCCAGCATAAAGACAACAAACTAATGGTCTCTATATTTTTTTGTGTGGCTCTGCAATGTGCTAATTACAGTCGAAAGAAACAGGACCAAAAAGCCTAAAAGGGGGGAGGTTTTCGGGGCGGTTTGAAGGGGTGTTTTGGGTTGTGTGGATGTGTCATCGTGTTGGTGGTTCTGTGTCTTCGGTGGCCAAAAGGAAAATGGACCAAAAGATTTTCGCCTGTTGCCAAATGCGTTGCACTGCGCTGACTCACATGACGCAGAACGAGCGGCGTCGAATTGTCGGCTATTTTTTGTAGACCCCGCACACACACACACACACACAACCAAATCCATATAGCTATATACTTGAGATCACACACACAGAGGTATATAGATAGAGGTATATAAATATATATACAGGGACAGAGCGAAGTGCCTTTGAAAATTTTGGCGCTCGTACGCGCTTTTAATTGAGTTAAAAGATCAGCACAGATCGGTGCATATAGCTGTGCGAAATATATAGACCAGGCCGAAGCTGTTTTCATTTATCTATACATCACACACACACATACATATATAATATATATGTATTTATATTTGTTTCTATATATTTATTTATTTTCCTTCGTTTTTTGCTGCTCTTGTTTAATGTTATTTTTATTCTGCGCCTTAATTAATTGTGGCAAAATAATTAGCGCAAATGTTAAAGCTCAACGTTGGATATCATAAAATTCAATGAAAAGCAAAAGACACATCAAATAAATGTTGTTGTTCTTTTTAAGATCGATTCGCCGAGAATCCCCAAGATGATATACATTTTTTGATGGCCAGAAAACATTTTTAATATTTCTCTTGTGTTTTTTTCTTTTCGAGGTGGCTTTCGATTTTCGGAAACGGATGATTGCATTTTTCGGGTTCTTGAAATTTGACAGCTACGAGTGTTGAACTGTCAATCAGTCCATCGGTCAATCAATCAATCAATGGGGAATGGAATGAGGTAAAGGCGGCAAACAACAAAAAACCGCGATAAAACTAAATAAAATATTTGTTCAAATGGTTGGCCAGCGACTTGTTTGTTTTATAAGCAATTAAATTATTTAAGTGCAAAGCAAACAAAGTCGAAATGTCTTGACTTTACTCTGTTTTTTTTTTTTTTTTTTTTGGGGACACGCCAGTTCTAATGAAGATTTCTAATGGTTGATTAAGTGCGTCGCTCAAAGGCGGGTAAAAGTGCACAGCAAGAAAAGGGGAGTCACTTA